TGCACCGAATGCAGCGGTATTGAAAATCATTTTAATCTCATACAGAATTCTAAATAATAAAACAAAAGGAAATTGTAAAATAAAATATAACAATTCGCTTTAGAAAAACAAATATGTATAATAATTAGAACGCACAATGATGTTACAATACCATTTCATATATTTTATTCTCAAAACAGGTTTCAGCCATTCACTAAATTTATGTATATATTTATGTTTATTACTGTAAAATAAAAATTACCCAAAATAAAACACACTGTCCCGAATTTAACACCAGCTTTCAATGTGATATATACATATTATTATTGGAGCAGTATTCCATGGCATGGATTTATGACAACAACACACAATTTACAGCACAAGTGCTGGATTTTAGGAAATTAGTGACATTAGCAAACTTGCATGCGGTTTGTGGGGGTATGGGATACAACCATTACAAAGTATCTATTTTAGAAAATAGTTTTTTAGAAACAATATGACAAATCGATAATAACAAAAACATATTAAAATGCTGACTTTCTTGGCACAGGTACATCAACTTGAAAGAGACCTTGTTTTGACAAAGTTACATAATTGTCAGTACGATATGTAATCCATACGCGAACAGCATTATGTGAACGTAATTTTCACAATACCGGCATGCTTAGCGCAATGACATTCACAATGAGACGAGTTCCAACAGTGGAGTTGTTTCTAGAGGTACAGAAATGTCTTTCAGTTCCTCTTCGGTTTTTGCTTCGATGTAACCAAGGGTTTCCATGACGTCACCGCAAACATTCTGCACCATATCAACCTCGCGAAAACCCAGTTCGTGTCGCCAAGCTTGCGCAGTGCTTGCTGAGTTTCTTTTAGTATTCATAGTACCCTGGGCGTGAGTCGGTGCTTGTGCATGAGTATTACTTTCTATCCACCTCATGACGTCTTCACTCATTTCCATACTGAAAAAATCATACAGGTCGATAGCTTTGCGGGTGACATTTTTTGCGATGTCTTCATATCTCAGCAGGTGTACCCTGTTTCTCATCCATTCCAGATTATCTTGCACTGCGCGGATATTTGTCCTCAGCCATGCGCAGTAGGAGTTAACATTAGCTGGATGAAGATCGGCTAAGTCCATATCCTTAGCACCGACGAGATTAAGATCTGTCAAACTGCTTTTGCTTCTCGTCGGGAATTTAAAATGTTTTCTTGATGTCGCCACTGCTCTGGGGTCCCGTACCAAAAATACGATCTCCAAATTTGAACAGGCCCGGTCCACAATATTTTGAAGTGTGGACACATCTTCTACTCGTATCGATTTGACTACCATATGGTCGTAGGATGCGCAGATAGAATTCATATCCGACGGTAGGATTTCGCTACATTTGTCATTCCTAGCTTGGCACGCTTTTTTCAATGCCATGCTTTCAAAAATAGACAGGCGCCATCCATGGATATGATACGCATAGTACGTCATAAAGTCGCAGTTGACAAGGTTGTGTAATATTTCCACCGACATGGACGTCCGATAGTTATCAGATATCGCTTCGTAGCGCACCATGTCTGGGATCACTCGCAACGGCTCGAATGAATAAAACACCGACGGGTTTCGATTGAAAAGTTCTCCAAGAAATGTTGATCCACTTCTGGCTTTTGCCACTATCAAAATACGCTTCCCTAGTTGATCATTTGGACACGGTTCCACGGAGTTAATCATCTTTCTGCCGCGAAAGTTTTCTATTCGCCACTCCAGCTCAGCTAAGCGACGCCGGACCGACGCGTTGTTATAGAGGCCGTATTCTGTTGAATCATCGGACGTTTTAGAGAAGAAGATCACACAGACGGCAACAATGACGCAAGTTATTAAAAACACAAACTGTTTTTTGAGCAAGTATTCCATATTAGTGTGCAGAGATCTTCCAATTAAACCATTGTCATGCGAAGGGAGTGATATTCGCTGGAGAGGCGCTGGGAAGAAGACCAGTATGACAGCTTGCGATGCTTTATAAATAACCATGTTCGGAACCACGTGTGACATCTGTCGTGGCATTGAAATAACAATGTCACGTCTAAAACTGAAAAGAATTAAACAAATATAATAATACGTTGTTGCGTAATGCAGTATTCAGCTGAAACAAATATTAATTTTAAAGCAACACTTTGTGAATAATAATCGCTTATGTCATTTTATGATCGCCCGTATAACACAATGCACAGGCTTAACAAACGTTTCCATAACAAAATATATAATTAACAATTTCATTTTCTATGACGTCAAATTCTGAATTCGATATTCTTTTACATCTGTCGAGTGACTGATCGATAACATTACTTGATGGTGACGTTTTGCAAGGTATATTTACGTATGATCTATCATGGGTGTGGTATGTCAACACAGTCCGTGAATCGCATATCACAGAATGCGTTGTACTGTAACAGTTGTACAGTTGCGTTCGATTACCATGTAATAAACAAACAGTGCGTTTTACACGCGTTGTATACGTCGTGTGGAATCCATATCAAACATGGCGCACATACTTAGCGGGAAATACACGACCTACATGACCTACATGATATAGACTTCTTTAGCATGAAAAAATAAGTCCTACTATAAATCTTTTCCAGAATATGCATGTGTGAAATTGAAATTAAACATATTTATTTAAAATTTCGACCAAGGTAATAGCCTCTCCCCACAAATAAAAAAACATAAAGTAACCATGACAACTGACGACATTAAATACATATACAGATAGGTTAATACAATTACCTACGGTATGTTATGTTAACTATAAATTTAAAATTGATAGAAGTTGCAAGTGCTATTATGTGCACCTGTTAGAATCTAATTCTTAAAATTAGTTGTAAAAGAAGGTACACTAAACGTCGTCATTTACGACATTGAAAGGTTATTACACTCTCGTGCTGTTTTGTTTTGCAATAGGTGATTTCAGTACACGTCCTACATGGTTCAGTTTGTATGAGTGATTAGATTTAGCTTTATTATATATATTTGAGTACAAGAAATGCTCACTTGTGAAGGCGACGTTTCTTTGAAATATTTTATTAACACATAGTGTGTCAGTTTTCTTTTCTACTATCGTTTTAACTTAACCAATTTAAATTACCAAGTTATTTTAAAAACATTTTTTTGTGTGATTTGCAGAGCAGCTTGGATTTGTACCTTTTCGAGTATCAATAAGGATTCCATTTTGTATTGGCAAAATAAAGTTTTGAACGAACTAAACTGAACTAGCGTTGTAATTTAGTTTTTAGGCGTTGATGGCGCACTTCATCGAATGCCTTTGTAGAATCCAATACAATTTCATCTAGAATTGTTCACCATTCATAGATCGTACTTAATAATTTAGTTTCACAAGATAGACATCTTTTCAAACCGTACTGCTGATCACTAAATATGTTATTTTGAAAATTTAAAGAGACATGAATGAATAAATTGAGTATATTTGAGAATGTTGAAATAATTGTTTTGCTATTACTTCTTAATGATTTCTTGAGATATGTTACGAGATAAGAACACCCCTGTATTTAATGTCATGGGCGTATAATGTGTAGCCTTCTTGTAATAGAATGTTATAGAATGAATAATACTTTGCTGTCAAAACAAGGGTTTTATTATTCTTATTATTATTATTATTATTATTATGTATTATTTTTATGAAGATGAAATATGAAGCAAAATTGTTTAAAAATGGCCAAAACTGCAGTGTTTGACTTTGGTCGTGATTGGTCCTGACGATTTTTACACTGCTTTCCCTTTTTTTAAAATTCGCCGCCAGCGCGGGGATATTTGTCATGTGATTTTTGAAAATTTATGACTATAGAGGACTACCGGGAATATCGAGTAATACATTTAATTTCGATTGATCTATTTCACGATGTATGACTAGCATGCATATCAATCGTTTTGAACGAGAACTCACTGTGCATAACAATGCAGCCTTGCGAACAGAAAGAAGTTGTTATTATTTTAATCTTGTTATCACGACTACACTAAACAGAATTCAAATGCGATGAAATCATTTGATATAATGATGCCAACTAAATACAATGAGATTAGCATTACGATTCGGATTGTTTTACATACCGAGGCTTTTAACATATATTCATATTTTATTATTCGTCGCTAACGGCTACCGATGCTCTTCAGTTACAAGTGGCGGTCACGTGTCTTTCACCACTATTATTATAATATAATTTCAGCGCATTTAGTTTGACGCCAGCTGATACATTGCCCATTGTTGTGTTATTTTAGTTATATTGTTAAACATTTAAACATTAATCCAATGGCATGACGTATTACTCCCTGCCCTTGCCGATCTTGCTGTTCATTTATTTTGTGAGACTAAATGACACCGGAAGTGCAGATTATAGGTATCCAAATATTAACCCTTACCGCCTGTCAGAGAATTGAATGACCTGGTAGTAAGGGTAACCTAGATACGACTATATGCGACACAAGCTATATCTATGACGTTGCGTATTATTAATAGTAACAAATTAATCGCGCTAGACTTATGTACGAGCAAGTATTTTAACATGATAAGGCATTGGCAGGTACAAGTTAAGTTGAAATATGAGCTCAATTTATATGAAATGTAACACATTTTTATAGTAAACATTTTATCTTATACACGGCGCTAGTAGCATGCTTTAAATACCTGCTACTTTAATTGTTAACGATTTTCCCGCAAATCTATTTTTTCATCTCGTTTGAATACAGTGTCCTAAAGAGGGGTACACTCTATTTACAAATTACCTGCCCCTCACCCCAGTTCTCATAAACGACGGCAAATCATACGGCGAGTGTCAGAGATTGTCCTGAAAACAATATCAGACTTAACGTAGAAGCCTACTCATCAATTAAAAAAAACAGAATTTATTCATTTTGCAATAAACTGTACTCAAAGGCTATACAAACGTTGGGGGTCACCAGCCTTTTTATTAGAAATTGATGGTTGTATTTTAGTCGCCATTTTGACACTATTATAACACTTTTATCATGTGTTCCCATGCTATTATGCAATATCTCAAAATCTAGCCTGGTGACATAGGCTGAAAAAAAATCATATATTGTTAATGATGGAGTACCTTTTGTTGTTCTGAATTATTAAACAAATCTGGGTTTTAAAAAGTTTCAAAAAATGCAATTTTTCTTAAACATTATGTTTTTTTTTAATTTTTAAGAAATATTGGGACACGTTTTTCAAAAATCATAACTGTAACAGACAATAATGCTATTTCATTTTACCATGAGACATTAGCTTCATGATTGGACATAATAATCTAATGAACATTGTCATGCGATTTATGACCAATTTTGTCAAAAATTATCACTAGGCTTCTACCTTAATGGCGTAGAGTCTTTTAGTACGGATGCACATTGAAATAAACCGATCAAATTCAACAGTACTCACGGATGTTCAGTATTCATGATCAGCGTAGACGTTCACGCGTTACTGGTCAGCTGCCAAACCTCCCTGTAAACACAACGTAATGGCAGTATTCATGATGTTCACACTGTCTATATTCACACTAGATCCACGTGGAAATAATAACAGTACCACAGATTCGGACTGACATATCGATCGTTCTTCTGCGAATAATGGCAGAACATACATACAGTATTAATACTAACAGCACTTATTTGAATTGACACGACAATTTGCTGCTACCAACGAAACGCACCGCCACCAGCTGTGTCAGGTGAGAGATTGTAATCTGTTTGCATCTATCGAACCAACACAATTACAATTAACTATTTCGTGCTTTACACACATTGTCTATTTATTTATTTATTTACTATTTTTTTTGTCGACGAGAGACAGTATCACGGAATATATTTTAACAATCTATGATATATTACTGTATCACATTATATTCTGCTGGATGGTCTATACATGGTCGTGACGCGACAGATTGTGTACCGTATATGTGACGGTTCTCTAAGTGTGTGGAGGGTTGTTATGGTAACCTATGTACACATGTTCGCTATCTCGTATGCAGAACAAAGAAAGGAATGGTGAAACAATTGAACAAACAAACAAAAGAAGGAAAGAGTTGAAATAAATGAATAAATAAATAAATAAATAAATAAATAAATAAATAAATAAATAAATAAATAAATAAATAAATAAATAAATAAATAAATAAATAAATAAATAAATAAATAAATAAATAAATAAATAAATAAATAACTTAAATTGTCAATATACAAATACACTATAACTAATAAGCATACTATTATTATTTATATGATCATATCATAGCTAAACCTGTACAACAAATTTTAATAAAATATTCAAATTTACGTGGAAGCGATTCTCGAGAGTCAATCAGATTGTGGGTGTTAATAAATGAAAATATAATAACATACCAGAGATTTCAATTGTGGATTGATGAATCACTTCTACGTCACTGAGGGGTTACTTCGCATTCAAACCACTAGAAGCAAACAAAAGATGGCAGGCGGGATTTTAAAACACAAATATCAAGAAAGGATAACAAATTTATCGACACGGCAGCCGTAGTATATCTATTGGACGGTCATCAAAATTGTTTATCAATGTCAAAATGTACAAAGGAAGAATCAAAAACTTCAAAAAATTACTTGTCAAACAAAACGATAGTTAACTAATATATAGTCATGAAGGTAGTTCAGCAAGTTAGAAATCCAGGATACAGTAATTTCAAACGGAAAACACAGTTTTGTGAACTCTTGTTATATCACGGGTAAAATCTTCTCTCTGGGTTCTCCACACTTGCCAGGGGGGAATCTCGTCTCGTCTCTATATCTCGTCCCCTCGAGGTGCGGGATCGGGAAAGTCACTTATACTTTACAGTCAAATAAGACACACACAGCGAAATACGTTTCAACTCTCGTCTTAGTCGGTCAATCGAGCACTCTATAAGACACAGCGCCCTGGGGAAAAGTCCCCAAGACTATCACAAGGCTGACCCAAGACTCTTTTAGACTGCGTCAAGGCTCGCCCCAAA